AAAATGCAGTTCTTAGCTTAAATTGCCGTTTCACTCCCACACATGCACACACACACACACACACACTTCCTCAGCAAGAGGCCTTCTAGCACATTCACAGCTACATACTACCCGCTAATCAAAAACGGCAATCAGTGCATTTTTATCTTTCTCTCTCGCCAAAAATTTAGGTCAAACCAGCCGCCAATCAAACACTCACTCACGCACGATCATCATTCAAGCGCTCCAAACCAAGACAAGTCAAGCAGCAGCAACAACAACAAGGCAACCAAATCAACCATTTAACCCACAAATCGGTCAGCCGGCGCAACATTGCAATAGCAATTTATTATACCTTTTATACCATATATGTATGAGTATATATGCCCCAACAGCAACAACAACCGGCAACCTACCAAAAGGAAAAAAACAGGCAACTCTGCAGCCAAGAAAATAATAAATTTCCTCACTACACGCCAAATGACAAAGTAAAAGATAGAGGAAAGATTAAAGGCACACACATACACACATACATACATACACATGTGCGAGCGCGCATAAATGCAAGGCTTGCCATTCAAAGACTTGGCGGAAAACCCCATTTGAATATGTACATACATACCCACATACCTACATAATAAATTGTTGTTGTTGCTGCCGCTGTTGCTGTTGCAGCAGCTTCGAGAAAAAGTAGGTGAAGGTAAGATGCCAGCAAAGATAGTTTCACTGCCATCTCGATAGCTTATCCCCATTACGCCCCTCACCATTTTCCACACGCTTCACATTCGTCTCGTACTTGCTGGCGTTGTGGGTCAATGCGCCAAAGCTGTTGTGGCGATTTCCGTTGCCACTGCCATTGCCACAGTTGTCGCCCAGCTATTGCCGCGCCGCAACAAATGAATGCCTCTGCCACAAAAGCAGCGAATTGGGAATTAAAAATATGCGCTTGCACATACGTATGTACGTACATTCATATATGTAGGTATGTACACGTATGTCAGCTATTTTTGCTTTTATTTCTATGCTGTATCTCGTTTATTGCTTTTTTGTTTTTGTTTTTTTTTTGTGGTAATGCAAACTTCGTTTTGTTGATCATAAATGTGCCAGCTGCGACGTCATGGGGTCGCTGACACAACATACATATAAACATACATACATATGTATATGTATAGATACATAAGTACATTTGAGAGTGCTAACCTCCTCCTCTTCTTGTTTGGCGCTGTAACCGCCTAAGCGATCCTGGGTGAGTCCAAAAAAAGCACGCCAGTAGTTTCTCTTCTATGCCAGCTGTAGCCAATTGGAAATGGCAATGGGAGCCAAGCTCTTATCCACTTGGTCTTTCCATCGCAGAGGAGGCCTTCATCTTCTTTTGTTACCAGCATCGCGACCCGCGCTGTTTACTTTCAGAGCTGGATCATTGCTATCCATTCGTACGACATGGCCGAGCCAACGGAGCCGCTGTCTTCCTTTTAATCCGCCGCACAGCTCATCGCCAGATGTTTCCGTTGCTAAACCTTCTTTTATATATTTTTTGCGATGTTGCTTTGACCAGGGCTTGAACCCAGCCGTGGCGGAGTGACGGTTTTCGGGATGCTATTTTTGTGTGTGCTCCCTGATTGCTCGTTTAGGAGGCAAAAGGGATTACTCGCCCTCCTAGGACATACAATAAATAATAAAGGAAGTATACAAAATTACATGGTTATACACAGAAGCATAGGGAGCAATGGGGAGTATTTGTATACTCCAAAGGGAGTACTCTACGAGCAATCGTACGATGCTCCCAAGTTCTACTGAGTATATACATACATATATGTAGGTATTATTAAACGTGCGATATGCCGAACTCACTACTTAACTCACTCCCAAGATACGCCAAACTCAAACGCACTTTATAAGCAATGCACGACACTATTTTATAACCTCAAAATCTAATTCCCATCGTCGACACACCAATGAAAATGACCAATCAAAAGCAATCGAAATCGAAAAATTCTAAACGTGCGCCCGACTTTTTGCATAAATTACTCAATTTCATAAAAATGAAATCAGAAATTTCCTAGTCGACCACCACACTGCTTCGGCAGTTATTCTGAACGGCAGTCGCATACTCACCACCCACACACCCATATACATACATACATACATACTTGGATGTTTGCTATGTGAAACTGAAAATTAAGTTTGTCGATTCGGATAATTGAAACACCGCAATTGTGGGCGTTTCACTTCACTTTCTTCGGTGCGTAAATGAAGTGTAAAGTCGAACGCACAATAGATTTGTCATTCGCCGCGAACAGCCGTGAAATTACGCTTTCAGTAGTGCAAAATTTTTTAAGTGAAATATTTTCATAGACTAAATACTATTTTAGTTGGTAAAAAATGCTTAAACATTACTTAATAATTGTCATTTTTGGCGCTAACTTGTGCTCATACTGGGGCATTATGGCGCAGACGCTGAAAGTATTTCGACCAGCAGTACCGCCACCGCCACGCTGGGGTGCCAACATGCAAATGCTGCGGCGTCACAACAGTATGTGGTAACTATGGGAAGACAAACGCAATTATAAGAAATGAATATCCAGTATTATTGAAATTTAAGGAAACAATTTTTTGAAGTTAAGCGAAAGCCCAAAAATTTGTTTACATTATAGATGCTGCTTTTGAATTTTGGACTGAGGATAGTGACACAAATCTCTGGGAGCACTGCGGTCTATTCGAGGGCGATATTATGCTACACCGCGATTGGTTGCGAAACGGTTTATTACGCGAGAAGTTTACCTGGCCAGATGCGACTGTGCCATTCTATATTGATAGTAATGACTTTAGTGAGTATATTGGTACATACGAAAAATTTTAATTGAATCCAAGTGGGAATCTAAAAGCAGCAAAATGTGAATTGCAAGTGACGGAGAAATTAGTCAGACAAAGCTGTGCAATACAATTTAAAATACTCTACATAGTATTTAGATAGATACGCGTAAATCATGGTGGAATTATTCTAAATGAAGTAATTAGAGCGGGAAGAAAGATTTTGACACAGCCTTATTTGAAAATTTGCCTTGAAAATTTGGCTATAAGGCAGCCGAATGCCAGAAAATAAAGCGAGAAAGCTGTTTTATTACTTCACCTGTCTATTGCACTATGAATACTACATTGTATTGCCTTTTGGATGTATGTTTGTATGTATATCAAAAGTGATTACTATACAAAAGACTTAAGCAACGAACTTGAAACACGGAAATCCTACTAATAGCTATTATTGTTGGGGTCTTGCACGCTAAAACGACTAGACATATTTCAATGGAATTTGGCACACAGATAGTTTATGACCTGGATTAAGATTTTCGATATTTTTTAAGATAGTGGCAACCTTGAATTGGTGAATTGTTTGATGTGAGAACCAAATCAACAGAGGTTTGAGAAAGTTTAATTTCGAGAAGATTTCTGCTGAGGGCCCCACCTGTTTGGAAATTCTAAATCATTTAAATTAGCAAGTTAAATTAAACAATGTAATATGGGTTGCAAAGGAGTAAGATATTTCCAAAGAGGGCTGCCACCTATTTAGGTAGTCAAAATTAATTTAATCAATTCAATTAAATATTTTATATGAGCATCAAACGAGAGAGATTTAAGAAAGCCCTATTTTGGAAATATTTTTGATGAAGGTTACCACCTGATTAAGCTCTCCATTAACATCGTGTTGGGGCTTCCAGCGTTCTTTAGGCAGAAGTGGCCGATATCAAACAAGTGTGGCAAACACTGCTAAAGAATGTGACGTTAGTAAGTGAGGATATTCGCTCGGATATTCATGTATACCGATAAGATCCAGTAAATACCCGTTAATTTTGTTATCCGGATATTCTAAACAGTATGATTAACTGATTTGTAAAATTGTTCTCGAAAATATTGAATCTATTAAGTAATAATACCCCTATTCGAATAACCGAATTATCGGGATAGTCAAAAAATACGGAGAGAACTCCCAACAAATTTACTCTAATAGCCAACCGGTAATCAGAGCACTCTGTTATGTAACTCCAAATTGACTAGGAAGTATCTGTAACCCTACGTCAGAATAGTTTTCAATTAAACTTTTGTGAGTAACTGTTACTTTTGTGAGTAACTGAAAACTGCATTGCTGACGAGTTGGCACGATGCCCTTGAAATGATGTCCCCGAGCAGAAGGCTATCGATTACCTGTGGT